GCTATGAAAACACAATTAAGTTAAAGTGGAATTGAGTAATGTTTTTAGCTTTTATATTAAACATATTTGTTAAGTATACCTAATGAAGAATTTTTTAATACTTATTAAATAATATATCCTAATACTAAAAATTTAGATGAATGGAAAAATGCTCTAAATTAATAATTTTAAGATTAAAACAATATTTAATTCTTGTATTTTGGATCAAATAATGTTCTGATAAAAGAATAATTAAAAAGAGATTTTGATTTTAGAAGAGATTAGATGATCTAAAACTAATAGAATTTACCTTATTTAGAAATTTAATTAAGATAATAATATGATGAATAAATTGAAATGATATTGGCAGATAATGAAAAAAAAATATAAGAATTAAATATAAAAATTGAGATTAAAGAAAAGGAAGCTAAATATTAATAATAGAGAGCAGATTATTTAGAAGCTTTGTAAAAAAAAATGATACAGATATTTGAAAAGACACAAGGATATTATACTTAATAGATGGAAGAATTAAAACAAATCAAATAAGAATGTGATAATAATATTTAAGCATTAAATTAGACTTATGAAGGTTATTCAAATTTAAAAAATTAAGAAAATGGAAAAATTTTAATTTTTGGATAAATTTAGGATAAAAGTTAATAATGATTATTTTTATTCAAATATTCATTGATTTTATCTTATTATCAATATATAATTAAAAGATTAAGTAAATATATTTGAGATTAAAATTCAAGAATTCTTATATTATCATATAATTTATTAAATAAATATCTTAAGAATCTATGCGTTGTGGATTTATTACTAAAATCAATTAGATTTAATGATTAATTATATTCCAATGCAATCATTTTATAAGTTAGCATTCCAAACACTTTCAAGTTTCCATTCTTTGGGATTAGTTAGTGATGAGGAGAAGTCATACTTGAAAGAAGTGATCATAAATTGGTCTACTCCTTAACTCAATACTTCTTAGGATTAGATGTCTGTATTAGTTCTTCAAATTATTCGGGTACTTAGAAACTAAGTCTAACATGTTTATTAGACATAGAAATTTTTGTGTTTGATTGAGGAAGAAACTGATGAAGATGAGAATATATGATTATATTAAATTACTTTCTCTTTTTATATTAAAAACATCCATCATTATATTCAATAGACAGTAACACTATTCAAAATTATATACAATAAGAATATTACAAGACAAAGTAAATAGCTATTTTTTTGTCTGTGAATAGTAAAATTGAATACAATATTGAGAGTTGAATATTGATTAGATATCTTTCTTTTCATGATACTTATATTATTAATATCAAATGTATATATATATATATAAGGAATAATTCTATAAACAAGTCACCATTTTTGACAATCTGACATAGTGATTTTATTTGCTCGATCTTTTAGTAAAAACAGTTTTTATAATATTACATTTCATGTTTCACTATAGTCAGGTTGAAATGCTACTGTGAATATAAGAATAAGTATTAATATTAGATAATTTAGTTTGTAATTTTTCAAATGATTTTTCCTAGATCTTTATAAAATTAAAAATAAATTTATTAATACCATTAGATTAATTATCAATACATAATATGTATTATTATTTAATATTTATATATAATTTTTAGGTAAATAACACGAGTAAAGTAAAGAGAAAAAAATAAAAGGAAAGCATTACTATTTATTTATGATTTTTGATTAAAATTTCTTATGCAATTATTTATATAGTTAAATAAATAAACATATAATGATTTTAATAATATATTTATAGTTATAAATATCATAAGAATTTGATAGATTTATAAGCTTCTTAATTGGGGAAGTGATTTATTTATATGATTATATAATTATACTGAAATTAAGTAAATAATAAATTATAAATTTTATAATATGTAATATAATCGATTAGGTAATACAGGTTTGCTTGTATCTTGTTTGGGATTTGGGAATATGATTAATTTTTAGCCATAGGATGAAGAGGTGAATATTGCGATAATCAAAAGAGCATTTGATGCTGGAATCAATTTTTTTGATACTGCAGAATTGTATTAATTCTTATTAGATTAATAGCTATTAACATGGTGAAGCAGAAAAGTAATTAGGTAGATCAATAAAGATATTAAATTTACCAAGAGAGAAATTAGTGATTACTACAAAAGTTTTTATTAATCAAACACCAGGAGGTAATTGAATAATTTATATTTGTATAGGATTGAATGTTAATAGAATGTGTACATTAAATAGAAAACATATTATTGAAGCAGTAAATACAAGTCTATAAAATTTATAATTGGATTATGTAGATATTGTTTTTGCACATTAATTTGATACAGACACTCCAACAGATGAAATTGTTAGAGGATTTAACTAAATAATAGAAGATGGAAAAGCTTTCTATTGGGCAACTAGTAATTGGAATCCAGCATAAATATAAGAGGCTATAAATTATGCTGATTTACATGGATTAATTAGACCAATAGCAGAATAAGGAGAATATCATATGTTGTAAAGGAAATAATTTGAATTTGATTTAGTAGGTTTGTATGAGAAATACAATTATGGTACTACAATATATAGTCCTCTTTGTGGAGGATTCTTGACAGGGAAATATTTAGAAGGAATACCAGAAGATAGTAGATGTGCTAAAGATAATGGATGGATGACTAAAGAGAGAGCTTAAAATAGATGGTTATTGAAATATAGTAAGAATAGATGAAATAGATTTATTAGTTAAGAATCCTAAGAATATAGAAGGTGTCAAGAAAATAGTTGAATTAGCTAAAGAATTAAATGTTACACCAGCCCAATTAGTTTTAGCTTGGACTATAAGAAATAAAGATATTAATGTAGCCATAACAGGAGCAAGAACTGTTGCATAATTAGAAGAATCTTTAGGAAGTGTTGAATTATTAAAGAGATTTGATGAGAAATTAGATGAGAAAATGGAAATGATTTTTGAGAATACTCCAAAACAAGATTTAAATTATAGAACTTTTTAATAAAATAAAAAGAGAAGATGAGATATATAATGATTTAGAATTAAAAATATCATAATATATGATTATTCATATTTTTTTGAACAGATTCGTTTTTTGTTTTAATTATATTATAAATGAAATCAACATTAGTTGTTTTATTGATAGTTGTGGCTTCTGCTTCTACAATTGCAGACATAACATAGAAATTATAAAATTATTCTGATCATCCTTTTGGATCTTCAATGATCAATTTAGTCAGTGTCAATATGAAAACAGGTGGATCACTCAATGAACTCAAACAACTGTTATAATAAATTAAAGATGAATTAATTGCACTTACATAATTATAAGATTAGGAAAGTGCAACATTCACTAGAAGATCATAAGTAGATTTAGCCAAACTTTAAGCCACTTTAGAATAAGCTTAATAAGATCTTGATAATTAGAGATAAGAATAAACAAGTCTCTCTAATGAATTAACTACACTTTAAACTAGAGTTAAAGAGGATTAAGCTGCATTAGATAGAAATAGTAGAGGAAGTAATGATGCTTAAGCAAGATTGGACTCTGAAAATGCAGATTTCACTACAAAATATTAAGATTATAGTGATGCCATATTAGCATGCAAAGAAGCTTAAAGATTATTATTAAATTTAAGAGGAGAAGGTGCTTCTTTAATTTAATTGACGTAATATTATTATGATTATTATTATTTTAGACAAGACACTAAATCTAATTTAATTTAGACTAAAGAGAACTTCTAAAAAATTAAAGAGATTCTTGAAGCACATACTAAAAAGAGTTCCCTTACTTTATTTTAACCAATCATTGAAGGATTAGCAGAAATGACTACTAAAGTCAATCCTGAAACTTTAAATAACGTTCTTAGTCTTGTTGCAAGATTAATTACTGCATTATAAGAAGGTTAAGATCAATTAGAATCTAATCATAAAACTTAAGTTGATAATCTTAGTAGATTAGGTGATGATTTGAGAAATGAAAAATAAACATTATAAGTCTCTTTGGCAACTGCTAATAATAGATTGAAGGAGATTTAATCAAGATTAAATGAATTAGATGGATTGATTAATATTTCAAATGCCATTGTTGAAGTTACTTAACTCAATATATAAGATGCTACCAGAATCAATGAATTAGAAGATCAAGAATATAGCAATTAAAAAGTTAGCAGGTATTATATTATAATATAGTATTAGATAAACTGAAATTGATATTGTCGACAGATTAATAGAATATATTAATCAAAAACTATCTGAATGATTTATACATAATATGCATTATATTTATTTAAATAGGATATTTTTAAGTTCTAATTAGTGTGTAAAAATAATTCTAAATATAAAAAATAATAGAAAATGTATAACTATCAATAATAAACAGGTCCAGGAAGATTAATCTTTAATAATCTAAGACCTCTAGCTGCTGTAAAATATTTGAATCAAACAAATCAAAAATCCATTATTTATCCCTTAAGAAAACCAAAACCAGTTCAAAATAATCAATCTGTTTTCAGAAATCAACCTACTAAAGGTGATTTATTTTTTGATCCCATTAATCATGATGGAGGATATCCTTTATGCACTATGTCTATGGCAGATTATAAAGAAGATGGAACATGTCCAAATTGCAATAAAAAATGTAAGAGTTAGTATCAATTTATAAGTTCCTTTAAATTAATGGTATTATGATCTCTCACTTGCAATGATTATTATGCAATTTAGAAACAATTAAAACAAAAAGGATATTATAGAATGTGTTAAATATTATGATGATGGAGAATATGAAATACTCTATACTGATTATTAGGAAGCATAAGAGACTGATCAATACTTGAATAATGATCCAATTATTGATGAATTGATTGGAGTCCAAAAAGAAATTTTACAAAGAGTTGGAAATAATCAAAATGTAATTCTAGAACAAAGTCCAGATCTTATAGAGAATTTCACCAAAATCATAGAGAGTGCCTTAAAATAATGATAGATATATATCAAAAAATCAAATAAATTAATCAAATCTCTTTCTTCTCCGAACTTCTAATTCAGAAATATCTTGCTTATGTATTTGATTTAAAGATTTATCTACTTAATCTTCATCCTCTTTCATTTAATTCCATTCGCATTTCTAATCAAAAGTCAATTTAATTTCAAATGTTTCAATATTCTGAACAATCTCTTTCTGTTTCTAAAGTGAAATATATTCATAATCTGCCACTAATCGTAAATTATATTTTAATAATTTTATAGAAAGCCAAACATATCCTTAATTACATAGTGCCAAATATTCTAATTTACTGTTCTTTATTCTCTTTCCAACTATCCTCTAAATTTCCAATTTTTACATCCTTTAAATAATTTGTCTAAATCAAAACTTATATTATCGAATTTGCTCTTCATTGAATAATGCTTGTGAATATTTATACTTACTCTAATTTTCCCATTTATCCTAAACTCTTTAAGAATTATTTAATATAAATAAAAATAGATATGCCTACATTGTTTGAATTATTATCCCCCTTTTTAATTGGTGGTATCTCAGGATGTACAGCCACAACCTTTGTCTAACCTATGGATACTGTAAAGGTACGAATTCAAGTCAGAAGTGAACTTAAAGGATAGGGATAAACTATCAATGTCAGCACAATTGAAATTATAAAAGACATCTTAAAAACAGAAGGACCCTTTGGATTTTATAAAGGGTTCATTATTATCTTATATTAATAGAATTGGAGCTGCTCTACTTAGATAAGTTACTTATGCAACTACTCGTTTGGGATTATATAGAGCAATTGATGATCATTATAAAAGAACACATGGTAGAAGCATGATATTCTGGGAAAGATGTTTAGCATCCTCATTTTCTGGATTTGTGGGATCTCTTGTTGGAAATCCAGCAGATTTATGTTTGGTTAGATTCCAAGCTGACACCCTCTTACCAGAAGCTTAAAGAAGAAATTATAAAAATGTCTTTGACGCTCTCTATAGAATAGTTAGTGAAGAAGGACTCGTAACTCTTTGGAGAGGATCATTACCAACTATCATCAGAGCAATTGCTATGAATTTAAGTAATTTAACAACTTATTTTTTTAGGTATGTTAACAACCTATGATCAAATTAAAGACATAATTGTATCACTTCATGGTAAAGGAAAGGAAGACTACATGGATAAATTATTGTATATATTTATCTATAATCTTATAGATCCTCTGCTGCTGCTGGTATAGGATGTGCAATTGCTTCTTTACCTCCTGACAATTTAAAAACAAAACTATAAAGAATGAAGAAAGATCCAACTACAGGACAATTTCCTTATAAAAACATTGGAGATTGTTTCTTGAAAGTATTAAATTCTCTTATAAATAGACTATTAAAAGAGAAGGTGTTACTGGATTATGGGTTGGATTGCCAGTCTTTTATACAAGAGTTGGACCACATGCTATGATTACTTTGTTAGTCTAAGATACATTGACTTAAATGTGGAATCCTCCAAAGAAGAAAAATTGATATTAATCTAATAATTATCAAATTAAATCACAATTCTTAACCAAACATATTTATAAATTAAAAAAAATCATTGATCATCTTTAACTATGTCATATTCTATTTCTTTATATATGTCATATTCTTCTTTTTCTTCTATACTTATGGGTTCTTCTATAGCAATTGCTTCTTTAACTATGACTTCTTCTTCTTCTATCACATCCAAATCTTTTAATTCAAGTTTATTTAATTTATTCTGAATATAAAGTAATGATGAAGAAATTACAATAAATACCACAATTCCCAATGATAACATTATTAATAATAAATTAGTCTAATTAATAATATATTTATTACTTATCCAGATCTATTATAAATATTAGCTTAAAAACTAACCCATTTTCCAAAGTCATTTGAAGCATTAAATGTAATATTTTATGTTTAAAATTCCTTGTCTTTAATTTTAATTGCCAAATATCTTGATAAATTCAAAGAGCTTAATTATGATCCAACTTACAAAATTATACCAAATGAAAATTCATCATTCTTTTTTTTAAGATGTAAAAAATCAAACAATCTTAAAAATAAATTAAAATTTACATTTAATTATTTGAAAATATCTTATATCCACCAAGTATTTTTCTTAATTTTTCCTTACTTTTACTTAACCTATCATAAACAACCAATAATTTTTATTTTTCATCTAAAGGATTTTAATAAATTAAACCAAAGAATCCTTATGTCTCTTCAGAGACTCGAATCTTTCCAGTAGCATAAAAATATCCATATTGCATATAAGCCCTAATAAATTCTATATTAATAAGTGTATCTTTTTGTAGATATTCAATTGTTATTTCTAATTCATAATGATGAAAATTTTGATTGGCCACTATAATTCTGTAAAATTCCTTTTCTTACTTTTAACCTTACTAAGCTACTATCAATGATTATGGTACTATGTTTGAGGGTATGTCTGTGAATCCTAATTCATAGAAGAAGGATATTAAATCAGATGTATAAGCATCATCCTATGGATAAGTATAAATGATAAATTCTATTAAATAATTAATAATAGAATACATGAGGAATTTGTAAGCAAAAATAACAGATAAGTATCATCATTATAAGCTATATCAAAACTAACAAAAACTTAAGCTTTATCAGCAGTGAATTCTCTAGCATTGAGTTAATTTATAACTCTCAAATTATCTGTTTAATTGTCTTCAATAGTTAGATTGAACATATAAACATATTCAGTAATAACATCCAAAATAAATAATATTTCATGTAACATTCTTATATGAGTGATTTGATTAATTACTAATGGAGAATAGAAAGGACCCATGGCAACAGGTAATGAACTTAAAAATGATGTAATATAAAATTAAGCTGAAGATGTTGTATTACATACTGAAACTACTAATTTTGTTTTAGTTTCCCAAGTATTAGCAGTGATAGATGTACATTTTATAGATTATTCAGATAAAGGTAATGGTATATAAAATTTGACCAAACCAAAATTATCAATTGCTATAATACTCTATTCTTATTAGATTAAAACATAATCATTAGTATGTTTAATTTAAGTAGTATTTGGAATAGATGTTAAATATTAATTATAATTAATATTATTTATAAGTTCTAATTCTTTTTAACAAGATTAACATTTGATTGACCATTCACTTACACTTCCATCAATATAATCATTATATCCATCTAATTTTTTAATATCTTAATCTGAATTGTTATAAGTTATAGTTTATGTTTCATTAATTATTAATGAAAGATTATATATTTTTTCAGAAGTTTTAACATTAACATAAACATCCATTAATTTTGCATAACTTGTAAATCCTTAAAAGAGTACTTTAATTATTTTTGATTAAGATGATTTAAATTACAAAATAACCGAACTATAAAGTTTTTAAGCATCAAATAATTATACTAAAAATACTTCATCCTCTTAATTTTATATAATATTAAAATCAAGATTATTTGTTTTTAAGAAGTATGTATGAAATGCAGAAATCTAAGGTTCATCCAATTTATAAACTATAATAACATCAGAATAATTAGAATCTTTTGCTTATAAAAAAAAATAATTTTGAGAAAATGCTACTTATGAATTTGTTGTGTTTGTAATAGTAAAATCATATTTTGGTAATAATTTTTCAGTATAATAAAAATTTTATTAGATTAAATTGATTATCATTATTGATTGATATTATAATGTAATAATCCTATTTCTAATAACTTATAAAACAGTATCAAATTATTATTTGAATTTAACAAATGCAATTAATTAGACTTATTAAAATCTTAATAAACCTGGATCAATAATTATTAAACCTACATTAGTTGAAATATATAGATTATAAATATTGATATTAGTTTTAACATTAAATATATTGATAGTTTTATTTGTATTAATTAGTTTTTCTAATTCAAGAGAATTAATTTCAAATACTTTTTCTAAATTACAATTATTTGATTATTTATATACTGGCAAAAATATCTAAATTAAATAAATTAATACTTAAATATTATTATTCTCTAACTCTACTAAGTATTTCTCTAAGTGTAATTTAATAGTCTAAATATTGTATATTGACTCAATAAAACAATTAGTAACAATAAATTTATTATTATATTCAATATAGAGATCTGCTCTTTTTTCCTGTTTTATAACAAAACATTCACTTGAACATATTAATCCTGTAACAACTTATAAAATAGGTTATTAAAATTTAATGCTTTATTTGTAATTGCAATTAATATCTTAGTCACTTTAATATATAATGCAATGGAATATTTGAAGAGTTAAGTCTTTCCATTAAATTATTTGTAAATATTGATTTTCAATTGCAATTCTAAAGGCACGATTAAAAATAATTGAATAAATATCCATAGTTTATGCATAAGATATTCTAAATTGTTCTTTAAATTTAATCCTTTCAAAATCATCCTCATTAGAATTCTTATTTTAAATTTTAATTGAATTTTTAAAATAATTATCAATAGATTTATTATACAAATAATAATCTACATTAGGACCAATAACAAGATTATTTAAATATAAATTATTAATACTTTTATTTAAAACAATGACAGAAGAATCTAATTCCTATCTATCATATATATCTTAACTTTCTTATTCCAATTTTTTTATATAGAATGTGAAATTACATAATGATTCTATTTCCAAAGAAGGAAATGAGGCTTAAATTTCAATAATATCTCCATAACATTAATCATCATCTATAGTTATATATGAAACTTATGGTGTTATAATAAAAATGGACTTGTTGTTTATTGCATAGGCATTATCTAAATTAATAATTCTACATACTGTTTAGACTATCGAAATAGAATAACTCTTTGGAAGATGTGATTTCAATAGTTTTATATAGATTTGATGTTAAATCATCCATTTGAGAATATATTTCTAGAAAATACTTTTTTGTATTGTTATTTTTATTTCCAACAATAACACTATATTTATCATTATGAAATATTTTAGAAAATGTCATATTCTTTTACAATTTATACATTTGTATAATTTTGTATGTTTAATCATCAAATAAATTAACTTTGAAAATATCTAATGTAATTGTTGAACCCAAAAGTATGCTATGATATCCATTTTATTCTATATAAACACTAAAAACATCAAAAATATCAGTCATTTTCCAACAATATTAATTAATGTAATTCTTAATATAACATAATCCAAGTTCTTTTGATAAAAAATATAGAGCTGAATTGTATATCAAAAAATCATATAGATTTAATGATTACAATTAATATATTTGTTTATCAATTCTTGTTGAAACAGTAACATCTTTGGATGTAATATTTATAGTA